ACTTCTGAATCTCTGATCAGCTACTGTTGAACAACAATAGGAAAATGATTCACGCAAGAGTTGTACTCACAAGTTGTCATCAGGGTTCATTGTTCGGTCGGATTGCAGCATTCTTCTCCTCCGTAAGCCCTGAAATTAAACCAATTGTCTGGGTAAGCATAAAAAAGAACTTCAATTTTCATTATATGCTGTATGGAATAATTGGAAATATGCTGGATAAAAAAATTTATCCATAAAGGAAGTTCAATTATAGCCATAGTATGCAGAAACCAACTATTAAAGAGAAATAAAATAATTACTGTAGCAAAAGAATTTAAATACTCACATTGCCAAATTCCCATGAAGCGTTCCCACAGGAAAATCCCTCGTCACATCCTCCAGGAAACGGAGATGAAGGATTAGGCAGCGACATATACAACTGACAGCGAGATCTGATCCACCGTATTACCCGCCTCTTTAGAAAACTGAAAAAACCCAGTAGCATGCATCAGACTTTCAAACAATGGATTCAATAAGAAGTCGGGAACATGGTACACTATAGCGAACTACGACTCGGCTTCAATCATCCTAGATTCGCGTGGAACATGACCTGATTCAACAACTCCAGTGACCAGATTTAGAATTCAAAAACCAATTAAAATGTCGGGCAAAAAGCTCTTTTTAAAAGAATAAACAACAAAAACGTAAGAAATTAAGCATACAAATTATGCATATCTTAATTGCAACATGGTTCTCAAGGTTCTATTACCATTACTGATATCAACTAGCATTTAAGAACCAAACCTAAAGCATACCATGTTTCCTGGCGTACCATGTAAGCCTACCCCCTCGTACATGATTCCTAATGAGTGGTGTACCATGTTCCCGTACACGTCCCGTGAACAGGAACAAACTAGGTTCCATGCAATTCAAAAGAACCTGACAAGCCTCTTTAACAAACTTCATTTCATCTTCAAACTATGTATCCTCCTTAGTTCCATCTACATTCATGCATAAACCACTCTTAAGATGGGGGAGACGAGCATAACATTATCCCATTAGCAAAGTACATGATGAAACCAAATTTTGCATCAACCTCAGCTTTAATTAATAACACAGACACTTTAATTCACACTGCTAATTCAAAATGGCAAAAGAGCCTAAAAAATCCTCTTGAACAAAAGGAACAAAAACAAGTGCACAAACCCAGCACAATCTTTAAATTCGAAACAAAAACAAGCAAGCACACCCAATTGCATAATTACGACCTCATATACCAAAATTGAAATGAATTAATAGATATAATATTTGATTAGATTACCATTTCATGTGTAATATCCTTTCTAGTGGCTCCTTCGAAGATAATGACACCCTCAACAAAAAAGCAATCTTTGCATTGCATGTCAGAAGGTGCTTCGCTTTGCGCTTGCATTGTAACTATAAAATAAATTACGTAATTAAACTACACCAGAAGGAGAATAAAAAGGAGGCAGAATCTATAAAAAAATTGTAAAGCGATACGCCACAACTTTGGCAGCTAATTGATGGCGAGGTAAGAGGATCTAAGCTGGCTGGCCGAACGGATGTAATCCGACGGCCAGTTTGGACTCCGCTAAGACTAAATCAAGGCAAAAGAAAAGCGAACATCAACTATTTATTTTTAAATCTTTATTTCCTTTTTGAATCTAAGTAAATAATTATTATGAGAATTACCTAAAGGGCGAGCGGTGATCATCCGGTTTTGTTGGATAACTGGATAGAGCAGCTAATCTGCTTCTCTAAATTCGATCTGCAAATCAAGACCAATAAATCAAGAAAGTTAAATAAAGGAATGAGACTAGAACAAGAAAACACTAATAATTTTGTTGTCCAAGGATCAAAAGGGCACAACTTTTGATAAAGGGGGAAAAGGAATTTAGCATGGGAATTGCGAGTTGGGGAAGGTTTGCAATCTCAAAGTAGCTCGCCGGCGCTTACCTTTGAAGATGCAATCGATCCGATGTCAACCAGCTGATGGTGGACACATAAAAGCTTGAAGTATCGACCATCATCGATCATAAATTACGCTGACATCTTCAGTAAAGCCTGAGAAATCCAATTGATGCAATGCAGCTGCCCGGAACTTTGGGATTCAATAAAAGATGAGCAAGCCTCTAAATGAACTAAGGCAAATTTTAGGGTTTTTTTACAATATTAAGTCCTTAAATCTTAGTAAATTTGATTATTAGTTCCTCAATCTTCATTTTGTGTTGATTATAACTGGCTATTAGGTTTAGGGTTAAACATAGTAACATGCCCGCCTCCCCGGCCCGGCCCCCCCCCGCTTCTCTGTCCTGCTGTTACTCGGCAATTGTTCTTTCGCAAACGTCTTCACATTGTCGCTCTAAACTTTGTTAATTCAGACCGAAACTCATGCAAAAGCTACCGCATCATCAGCCCCGTCTTCGCTCGCATCATTCTCTCTCCCATCAACAGTGGGCTTGAGGCTCACAATCGAAAGACTGAGCTCTCAAGGGGAGATCAAAATCTTTGGCGCGGCGGTTAACAAACTGAGGGGGAGAAGAGAAAGGGGAAACAGGTATGGGCTTTGGGGAGAAGAGTCATTAACCGGGTTTGGTTTTGTTGAGTGAGGGTCGTAAATGTCCTAAATTTATGGATGGATGGGTTAAACATAACGGAATATTCCCTAATTCTAGGGATGTCAATTTTCGCCATACGCTATTTAGCGGCCACCCGACGGCCACCATTTAAATTGGCCCCGCCTGCAAACCCACGCCATTTAGTTAAATGGGTCTAATCGGGCGGGTGTATTTTTAAATAATACTAAAACGGCGCTAAATGGGCGGTGTATTACTCACGACCGTTGGCCCGCGCGCGCCGGCTTATTGCCCAAACTGAATAACCGCGTAAAAAACCACCGTATATGTCGTCCCCAATCCATCAACGGAGCAACCGAGGCTCTCTTCGCGCCTCAATGCCGCGCGACCCCAATCGGCGCGTGCGCTCCGACTGCCTCCGCCCGACCGCCGTGGCAACCCGCTCTCTCGAAGCCAGCCGACGCCGCCTCCATCAGCCAAGGTGAGCTCCGCTTCCTTTCATTGCTCTCGTTTTCCGTGTTGCTTTACTTCTCTTTCTCAATGATTTTGATTAATTTCGGCATCAGTATCTAGAGTTTTTTGCTTTAATCGTTGCTTGATCTTGCGTGCTAGGCCTGGTGAGTTAGGTTTCTTGAAGAAGAAGGTGGATCTTTGCTCGATCTCGGCGCTCATTTACTTGAGGTAGTGCCAGTTGAGCTCGGTCGCACCTCAGATCTCAGCTTGACGCTGCAAGCTGCGATGCTCAGCACCAAACTTCGATTTTAGCATTGTTTTTATCTTGAGGTATTGTCTTCCTAATCTCAATTTTACATTGTTTTGATTTGATCTATAAAAATATTTTGTTCTGGATCAATGTACCAATGATTAAAAAGGATGAAAAATTGCATTTGGTGCATAATCTTTCGTGATTTTGATGATTTAGGATGAATAGGCTGGCAAGTTGCTGTTTTTAATTGTTAGTGGCTAGTTTGTTGGTTTTGTTCATTTTATATGAAGTTGTTCATCAAATTTAGCACACGAAGAAAAACTTGTTAAATCATCAAAGGGGTTTCGTTTCTTACATTATATAAAATTTTGGCATGATAAACGAGGAAGAACTTAACATAAATTGTTTCTTACATTATATAGAATTTTTTTTCCTTCTTCTAATTTGAAGCTCATGGAACCAAAGTTCCTGTGAGATGATCGTTTCATTTTAGGGAACTGATTCATCTTTAAGGGCCTGTTTGGGTTTCCAGAAATCATACTTTAGTCCCAACAAGGGTCATCCAAACCTATTCTTTGACCTTAAAAAAAGCAAAGTTCCATTTGTTCGTGAGGTAACTGGCCATGTCCTTTCAGAGAA